TGTCCATTACCGAAAAACAGGGAGTATGAGTATACCTAACAGTACGATGTATATGTATTATTAAGGTAGTAGCCGAGGAATCAAGGCTGCGCGAATAAAGTGGCCCATAAACAAGAAGGAGGAGAAGAAGAGAGGCATGTAACATAAATACACCATAGACCCCGTACAGTATGTATATATATATGTTTATAGTCTATGCGTTACCATTTTTCACGAGACGTATACGTGTGTATACATACACATTGATACAAATACATCCACAGGGCGCGCATCGGAACCCCAACCGGCAGTCAGCCAAGCAACTGCTCTCTCCCTTGAAGACAATCGCAATCAGTTTCGCAAGGTCCGTCCGTTCCGGCTTGGCGGCGTTTCACGGTTAGCCTCGAGGGCCATGACAATGGGAGCCAAGCTCTTTCGTCGCCACCGCCACTAGTACTACATATATAACGTATACACCCATACTCTACACTGCCTCCGGCGAGGAATGCGCTCCGTATCTGTTTCTCTCGTCTCTCGCTTTTTTATGTACCTATACATGTATATACCATACATTTTATACACACAGAGGCCTGTTGTACAGCAGAGGTGGTGGCTGGGAGTAGGGAAAAGCGAGCCTTCTCTCTCTCTCTCTCTCCCCCTGACACGGGTATGACGTAACTAAAAGTGACGGCCATTGTCGGGGCGCACGATATGCACCCCTTTGAAACAGTGGGCAAGAGAGAATGGGTATGGAGAAGAAAAAAAAAAGAGAAAATACAAGAGGGGCGAGATGGTCGGAGCTTCCGCGTGTGCGCGCGCCAAGCGACGCTTAATCGACTCTTTGGGCGAGAGGGAGAGTATAATATATATACATATATAGGTAATCATAAAAAATGCTAGATGTATAATACGAGCTTGGGTTTATGGGAAAAAGGAGTTACCGTGAGTATAACGCAGTATGCAGCGCGCGTTGCTCAATCGAGAACACGAGTGACGCTCACTCATCGAAATTAGCGCTTCATCTGGAATCAGTACTTATACGAGATGCAACTGCGAACAAAAGCAACGTCATTACAACGCATCAAAGCACGCGTGGTTATTAAAAAGGAAAAATCGCGCGAGGGTGGAAGAAACCCCGGAGCTAGGGGCAAAAAAAAAAAAAAAAAAAAAATGGCACCGTACCATACCTTACGGAGGCAAAAGCGTTTTAGTGGATTATTGAAAAGGAACAACCCCCACCTTCCCCGTGTTTCGCTCACCCTCGAACGTTTGGCATTATTGCGAGTACTTGTATATATACATTATACACACTTTTTCCTCCACTGCAGATGCATCCCCCTTTTCTTTTTTTATTTTCTCTTTCGGCGCACAGCCCTGCTCCCCTTATTCCATCGGCCATCGGGATTGGCTCGTCCCATTTTTTTTCCATTTTCCCTGTACACATGCCTCTTGGGTACAGAAACGTGCAGGAGGACGTGCACGTGGATTAGCAGCGTATCATATCCATATACGTACATTTACGCGCGAGGCGGAGTTTTTTTTTTCGGTCGGTAAATGGATTAAGCGCGGGATGTGGATGGGACGCGAGTTCGAGGACGTTGGCGAAAGGGCCTCGAGACGGGTGAGTAGTTGTAATGTAGATTTCAGTACAAGAGAAAGGGAGGGAGGTTCGCTCGAGTGGACATGCCACACGGGACGATACGATTCCTTTTGTATATAGGCACTCGTCTTTTGAGCGCGTACGGATCATAACGGTATACGCATTCACGGTGAATTAATGGGCGAGCCTCGTAACGTATCGGCGGAAGCGGGATAAGTATCCGTATTTACAAGGTTTATCTCTCGGTGGGCTCTTGGCTTGGTGTTTTGTGCTCGAATTTATCGTACATGTGCATTACAAGCTGGGTATATAATATTCGGTACAATATGTGTATATAAATATATATTCGTGCTGGTAATTAATGAGTGGAAGAGAGGAGAGCATTAGCCGTGCGTAGCGGGACGGAGAAGGGGCGGCAACTGTTTTGGCGTTGTATGATAGAGTGCGCTTGCCGGGGGAGGAGGAATTATTGTTTGCGCGGCAATGTTTGGTTCGAGTCGATTAGATCGATGGCTCGACATTGTCATCATCATTATCAGCGTCGACGTCGCCAGTGGTCTTTATTACAGATTAACGACTAACCCTCCAAGGTCGCCCACCCCCGATTTTTTTTTTTTTTTTTCTCTTTTTTTTACTTGGGGGGGTCAAGCACACAAACCGATAACTGTACGTCGAGCTCTCGAGGTCGCTCTCACCGCTGCCGGTCATTTCTTACTTTCTACCCACCTACAGATACGTTCTGTTTATTTATTTTTTTTTTTTTTTCACGTACACGTATACATGAGTTCGCGTAGTGGCTTATCGGCTATCAAACTGCAGCGCTTCCTGGCCCCGTTTGTGAAAGAAAAACAGGTAGAAAAACTAAACTCGCCCTTCCCCACCGTCATCCTCGATTCGGAGCGCGAAGACAATTCCACCGACCTTCGTCGCTGTACTCCAATGTACCTTTCACTCGTGCGATTAAAAAAACACCCGATGAAACGTGCTCCGGACACGCGCACTTGTAATTTGTTTTGACGCGCGTAATGGCACCCTTGTATGGAAAATCGTCCAATGTCACAGTATACACAAACTCGGGCACTTTAGCTGCCGATGGTTGACCAGCTCGTGTTTTCCAGACGCGAATTATCCTAATTGAAACGACATCTAAATTACCGTCGTATAACCACTGTACGCGTCTCCGTGACGGATAAGCACTTTTCTTCGTTTAACCGGGACGAATGAGAAAAGTAAATAAAAAAGGAGCACACGAAGATTAAGTTAATGGCACTTTTGGCCAAACGACGTGTAGTTAAAATCCACGTACATGGCTTTTTTTTTTTTTTTTTTTTTTTCAGGAAAACTCGATCCAAAAGAGCAGAAAAGTACATCGGCCAAGTGGATGATTACACTCATTGGATGTTATACCTATTCAAATCGCGAAATCTCCGCGTAAGATTCTTCATTACAACGTAGTTAGGGACAAGCGAACGAGAGCGTGGATAATTTCTTTCCTGCTCCCATCGTAAACGTAAAGGTACAACTATTCATTAAAGTATACATATATTTATGTGCTTATATGTATAATGTACGTCGTACATTATACCCCCTCGAGCTCGAACGCGATAAACATTACATCTTGTTTCACGCGACGCGCCGTCGTGGCTGATTAGGCTCTTTGTTTTTTTTTCCTATATAGAGCACGTACGGATTATTATCTTCCATATAATAGGTGACCTTTTTTTTTTTTTTTCACGTGCGATCGACAGATTATGTACCTATACTACACGAAAGGAGACACGTGTCGCCGGTGTCGTTGAACCAACACACGGTCTATACTTTGGCCGACGCAAATAAGTCTCGTGTACATACATCAGGTGTACACGAGTGTGCACGTAGGTGTGCATACAACAAACGTCAGGAGTCGCACCTGATATTGATAATCCATTATATAGGTTCCAACACCTGTTTCCTCCGGAGCTACGCAGCTTTTTTTCTTCTTCAAAACTGTTTGCACGTAGCGCGTGGGAGCACAGGGCTGCCACACTGATTCCGAGCAGAGATGTATACGTAAGTATATATCTAAAAAGAGGGATAATTGATGAACGAGCGGTTTTCAAACCTTATTTTAAATTTTTCTTTCTCCAGAAATACATCTCATGTATATACGTGTACCATGGCTGAGCGGAAAAAGTATACCCACAGGGCCCATTGTATACCCAAGAAGGGGTTGAGACTCAGCACTTGGAATATGCAAGCTCGGCGGTAATGCACGCTATGGGTGAAAAATACTTTTGCACGTATACGATATCGAATGTAAGGGAAACATGTGTGTTATACCTACATATCAGCAAAATGCCCGGACGTCCGATTTCGCGTTACTGCCGCTGTTTTTGCACTTTTACTCCTCCTTACTGATGGGCAGGGGGGGTATAGCTTGCACTTACGCGCTCACGTGCCCGGTAAGAGTTGTAAACGATTCTATTTGCGACTGCCATGTTGGGTTTTTATTTTTCGTAGCTATTTTTTTTTTTTTTTTCAGGACTTTCCACGATGTGCGTATATGTATGTATGACGCATGGATGAGCGGGAGGGAGGGTAAAAGGATGGATCGATTTTAGCGCTCCCCGTACAGTGTAGGCGTGTATATGTACATGCGTCTCGATTAGCGTTAATATTTTAGTCTGTTAATTTTCTTTTTCCTTTTTTTCAAGAAGAAGAGTTCACGGGAAGTTCATTGTGTGTGGTTTTAATTAGCGATATTACCCTCGTGGTGTATACGAGGGATAATTATGATGAAAATTACGAGAAATTATTACGAGCTGCAGTGTCAAGAGTAATAATAATAAAATTTCATCTAATCTTCGGATTATATTTTTTCAAGAAAAATTGTTAACCAGTGTTTTTTTTTTTTTTTTTTTTTCAAAAGCTACGATGATTAAATGACCTCTCGTATTGGCGATTTTCGCCACTTACAACATTTGATCTATTTCGGCGAAAAATTCATCAAATATAAATTGGTACTTATACTCGAAGAAAAAATATCAATCACACCTCAGTCCGACGTATCGGATAATCTCGTCTACTCTCACTGGCTCCATGAAGGTATAAAGATTGGATGTTCCCCGAAATATTCAAACGCCAATTAAAACGAAAATCTTCGCTCCGAAGCGAAATTCATTCTCAGCGATGTAAAAAGCCGCGATAAAAATGTTGCCCCCCCCCGTTAATGCATCATACGGCCAAAGTACAGCCGATTGCACCACGTGATTTCGCGTGTCAAGTACACAGTGGTACAGGTACACACGGTGAAAGGCGATAGATTCGTGTACCGCTGCGGTTCCCTTATCTAATCTGTTAAAAGTACACGTGAGTGTATATTTTGTAAAGCGTGTCTCTGCATCTGCACGATTCGTGCAACGGATGAAAGAAATCGACTCACATTCACGGTACTGGATGACGTTCACGTCCCGCTCGGTGAATAGCATGCATCGGTAGCACTCGCTGTCCGCTGGGCTGTAATCGATCGTAAAACAAATTTTTTTTTTTTTTCTTTCTTTATAGTCAATTGGGTTTTGCCTGCACACAGTATGTGCATAATACGTATAATCAATGAGCTGAGGTAAGTATCTTGCTTTTGACGTTTACGAGCGTAGCGTCTCTACCATCAGCTCAATCATTATCGTTACCATTATTTTTCAATAGAGATGCAAAAGGCCATGTTTTTTTTTTAACTTACTTTTCCTCGTAAGTGATGTACGTGTCCTGGTTGTTCTCGATGCACTTCCTGTCGAGCAGATGCGTCGAATTCACTATGACGGGACCCTCTTTGCCGTACTGAAACCACCTTCCGTTCCAACTCTCTGGAAACTTGCACTCTGCAACATGAAAAACACACGCGTTCCATTACCAACAAAGTTTATTCTTTGTTTATTTTTTCATTTTTTATTTTTTACTGAGATATCTCATTATTGCGGTAAAAATTACCCAGTGGGTACACTTTTCAACATCCCCGTGCTACAAAGGGCGCGTCATTGTGGAAAAATGTCATTACGCGCCGCAAAAATGAAAACGTTGTGTGAAAAATTGAATCTCCTTTCCCTCGCGCAACCTAATATTATGTGAAGTTTCATGAAAACCTCCCCAACCCCTCTGGAGAATTTTCTTTTCAAACGCAATTATAAATGCTCGATACGTACGCTGAGAGTGTGGCACATGAATTTTAGTCACACGAAAATACGCCTGAAAAACATTTTCAGCCACAGATATAAAANCATACACAGATATAATAATAATAATAATAATAATAATAATAATAATAATAATAATAATAATATGAATAATAAGAATAATAATATTTATCTATACATACTATTTGACAAAACTCGATAAATCCGCGGTAGAAGCAGTGGGTACATATGAGAGTGAAAATCGCGACAATACACCACATACTCTATACCTATTGGTGCACGCGGTAGGATACAATACATGCACAGGCATGCGTTATACTAGTAGGTACACCCTGGTGGAGCCACCTCTTTGACTCTGCGGCTTATATATTATGGGTACGCCGCTCGCGCGTAGGTAAAGTGACTTTAAAGTTGCGCATATATATACATGCGAGACGCACCTATTTTATGTATACACACACACACACACTCATATATGTTTTGTATGCATATAACACACGTGCATGAAACTTGGTAGGTGCAGAGAAAGAGAGAGAGAGAGAGAGAGTGTGTCAAAAGTGGCCCTGGCCTTCACTTAGTCGTGCTCTCAAAGTGCGATAATTAAGATGCCGTTGAGTCGCGCTCCCTTGACTTGCTCTCACGCCTCTATTACCTCGTCTATTAACCTCGAGATTCGTGTGCGCGCGTGTGGCTATACGTACAGTGTGAAAGCTCAGTAGCTCACATTCGCGTGTTTAAAAGAGAACTTACAACGAGCTTGTGTTTTAAAGCCTACAGTCGTTTTGTTTTTCAATGCTTCAGAATTTTAAGTGTAGTGTAGTACGTTGTTTTTTTAATTACGAGAGAATAAATGATGAATTCACTAACAAAGTATAATTTTCTCCAAACGATTCATACGAATTTCCATGAAATGGTATCGTATGCATGTAAAGTACGTATAGATCATGGCTCGATTTAATGTTACTTGTTTATGTGCTGTTTGATTGTATTGACAATGGTCCACTGTAATGCTGATCACCGATTGGACGATTTATCACCATGACAAACAAAAAACGACGTGGAACATCTATATTCAATTCGATTTTGTTCCTTTGCTCATACGTATGATAGCTTTTGACTGTCCTTTCAACAATTCCAATAGTCTCAAACCCAAACTGTTCAAGAGCTACGAGTGCCACGTCCTACCGACTGTGCCATGCTACAGCCAACAATAGTAAATATCGCACAACGAGTTAACCCGATCGCGGCCGGTACGGCGGTTTGAAGTGTCAGCCTAGCCACCCGTGAAAAAGTGCAAGCCAAATGTTTTTTTGTTTTCCTTTCGACACCACCGCGCGCTGCACAGCCCAAATGGTATCGCAAAGTACGAGAGCCGCGGCGCAGCGATGTTCACAAGTGCCCTCGACGTAATAATTTCCCTCTGGCGCGGCTGTTTTGAAAATCGACGCTGCAGCTCGATCGAAGCTCGCGAGGGGATAAAGTGCGTGCACTGACAAAAAAAAAAAAAAAAAAAAACAACAACATTCCACAATTTCCCCCGTTCGAGCCGTTGATCGAAGGGTTATTGTCCGTTCGACCGACACGAGGAACAACATTTGCGTTACGCGTGTCGATGTTTTTTCGCCAACCTAAAACATTATACAGTGGCTGCTATTGCGTAACGCGTGAATTATAAGAAAAAAAAAAAAAAAAACAAAAAAACAATCCCTCCCCAACTCGATTGCATGGCACCCCGGCGAAAAGAACCCAATCACGCGCACCGGAGCGTAACTCTAATCAAAAGCGAAAGAGAATACCGTCATTATTTCCGGCGATCGGTATCGCATCGCACGCGACTCGTCGGAGAATGCAAGTTTTTGTGAGCACCCCCCCCCCTCCTCTTCATCATTTGCGGGAGGGGAGATGGAAACGACCCGAGGGAGTATTAGGGCGACCAGCCGATTTTCACGTGCGGGGGAGTTATAAGCCATTCGGGGTGTGGGGGCGAACGGGAGCGCTTGTACACACGCGCGCCCGGAACAATGGCGTTAATTGGAAGACAACGCCGCATTCGCGGGGGAGAGCAGCTAGTGTATATTGTACACACCACCAACGACGACTGCAAACGGAATCGCTCCCCACCCCCTTTTCTATACACATGTATATATATGCTTGAAATTTTGTATTTTGCGGCTGATTAATTTTTTTCTTTATTCGTACCTACAACATCAGTGGATTTTTATTTTAAATTTTGTTTCTGCGTGATTACAGTATCGATAAAAAAAAAAGTTACGTGTCGGAGGGTACATTGAAACCCGTCGAAACTTTGAGCGTCAAATATCGTTTCGCAAAAATGTTTGAGAGAGTCCGGGGCTTAAATATTTACGATGCGCATGACTTTTTGAAGATACTGCAAATATGTGTTTTTGGGAAAAAAAAACTCTCTTTGCCGAGGAAAGCCGCGTGCGCCCGTAAAACGCGTGTATGTGTAAGTGAAAAAAAAAAAAAAAAAAAAAAATACAAATTGACTGTGAAAAAGTTTTTCCGAGTTTTCGGGGGGATGAGAGGGGGAGAAGCGGAAAACTGAAAACTCCTCGGGGTGCGTATCGTGCTCCAATCGAAAAAACGTCCATCACATCTCTCGGAAAATAAAAATAATACAGCTCGTAAAAGCTCAACCCCTCCCCCCATCGCTTGAAAAAAAAAAAAAAAAAAAAAAAAAAAATATGTACATACCCCGACAAGAGGTCGACGCATGGTTTCACCCCTTCGACAAATAGAAGGCCCACATGTATGTGCACGGCCAGAGTCGAGACTCTGCAGTTCTCCATCAGAATCCATACGCGTACGAATATCAAACACAGGGACGATTCTATATTACGTGGGAAAAGTGCGTACACGTTCGTCGCCTCGGGGCCATCGGTGTACACTGCATGCACATGGACAACAAACCTGTACACGACCCACCCCCCGTCGCGATGTGGCTGGCGAGTGACCTTCTAGCGACCCCTGCTTCATACCCATGTTATGTAGCTTCGTCCATTGTATGCGTATACGTATACGCTTACATAGCTAATGTGTACACTCGTATTACATTACATAAGTCGCGAGTTTGTTTTTTCTTCGTTTCACTTGTGAAATATTGCGACTATCATTGCGTAGTTGTCATCAAACAGTCGAATCAAACGTTGTTTTCATTTAATTATTTATCCATTGTTTCCACAGATAAGTATACACATATGTAGCACATTTTCTCGGCTTAGAAAACAAAATTTCCAGTCGCGTCGCAGCACTTGATCGATGGACCCGAGGTACGTATATTTATCTGCGTATGGATGGTAGAATTGAATCGTCTCTTCTGGTCCGAGATGGATGTCGCTACATTTCGCCCCGCGATCCATTACCCTGGATCGATCGTACATATATATGTACCACACACACGCATCAGCCTCCATTGCTTTGAAAAAAGATCGCAAATGATCATAAGGATTTATCAGCAAAAATTTTTTTTTTTTTCCTTTTTTTAACAAACTTTTAGAGCTCCATTTTTCATGATGCCCCCCCCCCCCCTCTAGTAAAAATACTCATACACGTGGCGTGTGCTCTCCCTCGATGGCGACGGTTGTCCTTTTCCGATGCTCGCGGGGATAAAACTTCGGACCCACCGGGACCTCAAATTACACCGACAGCCCCACCCCAACAGCGACATAATTCCGCGAACTTTGCTCTTATCGCTCGATTTTTCCTTAGCTCCCTGTCCCACTGGCGATCCATCAAATGGCGTCGTGAGTCACTTCTCCTCTCGATATCGGGACACCCACTTGGGCTGTCCTGTAATTGCTGATAGATCACTCGGACGGGCGGCAGCTGGAAATTCTTTCGCCCGCGAATCTCAAAGGGTGGGGGTAAAGTGGCGAGAAACATAGTAGGGGATTAATCGATGCAAGAGAAGGAGGAGGTGCCTGTACGAGAAAATTGGCCACGATTTACGGGGTGCCGAAATTAAATCTCGTCGCGCTCGCTCGTGTATGTGTATACAGCGGAGCTCTGGGGTCTAGAGAGAGTGCAGAGGGAAGAGAAAAGACGCGCGGAAAATCCGATAACCCCTTGGATGTTCTCATCGAGCGGAGACGAGGCCAAAGAGGAGAGAGAAAAGAAAAAAAAAAAAAAAAAAAAAGGGAAGCCGAGCGAGAGGGAAATAATTGGGGCCGGCTCTTTCTGCTGCGGCGCGATAAATAACTCGGCCGCGAGCGCTAATTGGTCGATTCCCGGCGCTCACGGACGGCTGCCGCCCGCGCTGGCGAGCACCCGCTGAGGAGACAGCCCCGAGATTTTATCGTTTTACGGGATGCGAGCAGCTCTTACCCCCCCCCCTCCACCTCTTTTCTACTTTTCATTTTTTTGCTCTCCTTCTCCGTGATTTTTTAGCTCTTTTTTTCGGCTCTGCGAAGATGCAGTTAGACGGGCCCTGCGCGCGCGTGTGTGTATGGGTATCTAATGGTAGTGTCCGAGAGACTCTTGGTGTATTTTATAGTTTTCTGTTAGATCAAAGAGGGCATCAGAAGAATAAGGATTTACCTTTTTAAACAATGTATTGCTGATAATATGTAAAGAGTGTCGGATTCGTCATTTGAATGTATTAAATTGTATCTTCAGTCACGTGAAAAAAAAAAAAAAAAAAAAAAAATCACTTCATAAATATTATTATAGCAACAGGTTCGTGTGAACCACAACTAATATAAAATTCACCCACATACGAACCCCAGTAGCAAACTGCGCCAACCGTTCGCGACCGATCCC